CAGCCCCGTGGGGGCCCCTAACTTCCAGGATGAAAGGCCGTCTATGTAAACGAAGAGGCTTGTGATCACCGTGCCTGTGGGGGCTCTGCTGTGGGATCTTCGGGAAGAGCAGAGTGCAGAGTTCTTCCCAGGAGGGCAGTGTCTTCAGGAGCCTGGAGACGTCAGAGGCGGTGGGTTGGCTGGGGATGATACTGAGGTCCAGAAAGCTCCTCAGGCAACAGCCTGGGGAGGCAACGAAAGAACAGATCATGGGAAGAGGGATGGAGAGTTCTGGGTAAACAGCCTGAGGAAGAGCAGAAAGGGGAGACTGGGGTCCTGCACAAGGCAGGTGGGGGAAATAATGGCCCCTCTAAGATGTCCACATCAAAATCCCCAGAATCTATGGAAATGTTACTTTTACATGGCAAGAGGGAAAGTGAAGACTCTTGAGATGCGGAGATTTTTCTGGCTGATACCCAAGTGGCCCCCATGCCATAGCAAGGGTCTTTATAAGGGACCACGGGAGGCAGGAGGGTCGGAGAGGAGACGTAATGACAGGAGCAGGGGTCTGAGTGACACGGAGCCACGGAGCCACGGAGCCACGGGCCAAGGGATGCGGGCAGCCTCCAGGAGCTGGAAAAGGCAACAAATGGATTCTCCTTCCCATCCTCTGGAAGGATGCCGTTCTTCATCTTAGTCCAGGGAGACCCATTTCAGGCTCTGGCCTCCAGATTGTAAGATGATGACTTTCTGTTGCTTTAAGCCATTAAGTTTGTAGTGAATTGTTAGTGTGGCAAAAGGAGATTAACACAGCAAATGAGAGCTTCAAGCCAGTGGACTTGGGCTCTGATGGTAAATATAACCATCCATTTATTTGTTGACCAAATACTGTATACTCGGCACCATGCAAGGTGCTGAGAAAGCCCCCAGTGGTCAGAGCAGACATGGTCCCTCCCATCCAGGAGCTTGCGATCCAGTTTCTGCTTATCAATCTATTGCTGCCCAGCTCCAAATTCACCCCGCATTACCTGTTCTATGAAAATGGATCTGAGCCCTTAATATATTTTTCCTTTGCCAAAAGGCAAGGTGTTGAGCTTTGTCAGTAGGGATGTCGGAGAGACGTTTCTGAGGGAAAGGGCTTGCCTTGGGACTCTGGTGAATTCTGTCTGCAGGCTGCCGCCATGCACGTGCTGTGACTTCTGCAGCACTGGTAGCCCCCCTCAGGTCCAGCTCCCGCAGCACCCAGCACCCGGCAGCTCTACCCAGCAGCCACCTTGAGTGGTTTGGTGCTTCCGATGCCTCTGATGAGACACCTCTCTGTAAAGAGCAGTCTTCAGAATTCTAGCAAGTTCTGCCGGCATGCTACCTCGGCAACTTCTCCACGTTCGATGAGCTGGGACCACACCCTCTCCAACAAGGGCTGGATCTTGGGTCGGGGGGGCTGTTCCTTGAGCACTCTAGCTCAGCCCTGGGGCAGTGGATGCTCCTGATGGCTGCCATTCGGACATTCTTCAGAGTTCTCTTCACTTCTTACCAAGCAATCCCTTGTCATTCCAGTCTCTGTTATAATTAATAACCCTTTATATCAAACTTTCTCCGTTTCAATGCTTTCTCATGATAGGAGCCAGACTGAGACAGACATGCACAATCACATAAATAAGCATGAATTGCAGACAGTGGTATGATCTACAAGAGGCAAGTGAGCAAGAATATAAGGAGGACAGAACTAATTTTGCCTGAGTGGCCAGGAGAGGCCTCTCGAGTTGACTTTTAAGGTGAAAAGAGACCAGAAACCAGCCAAGTGGACCATTCTGGGCAGGCCCGGGACTCAGTGTGGCTGTGCTCCAAATGCCCAAGATTCTGAAGAACAGGACACACTTTGGGACAACAGAGTCGTGTTGTGCAATAAAACCAGCAAGACGACAGCATCAACCAGAGCCCATGTGGCGTCAGATGCATTCCCTGCTGGGTTCTGGCTGCTCAGGTGACCCAGCCCTGGTTCCCGGGAACACCTCCTCCTGCTCCAGCCCCGGGTCCAGTGGACTCTTGTTCTGGCCAGGGTTCCCGACTCTTCTGTTGTGTCTGGCTTCTCATCCATTCTAACTCCTGTGTAGCTGCGTGCCTGGGCTTACATCACTCTGCTCTCACTACTAAAGTGGTTTCTGCCTCTGGGTACAAACTGATACAACAACAAGCCCATTTATGGATGTTCTGTGCACAAGCCATGTAGCACCCTTACATCGTGCAGAAGTTGTCCAGAGTTAGTTGCCACTGAGAAGGAAGAAAGGAGGTGAAGAAGGGGGGGAGGAGAGGAAGGAGGGAAGGAATGGGGAGGGCAGGAGGAAGGGGAGGGAAAAGGAAGAAGCACCTAGAAGGCACCCCCTGCTAGGCACGGCACGCAGAACTCTCCCCTTGGCAGCTGTGGGTCCAGGGAGCGCAGCTGAAACAACTGATCAAAAGAGAAACTACCAACTTCGGTCCCACGGCAAACTTCACGGAATAGCTCTGGTCCCCTGGGGTCACTTCAGGGCCACTCTTCACAATGATCCAAGAGATAGATGGTGACACCCAACACCACTCAACCATCCAACCCTGGCGTTCTCCTGCCAAGAGGAATTAAAGCCCAATGCGGGAAACCATCCCTAAGTAAAGATCAGCCAGATGGGGAGCGCCGGGCGGCGTCAGGGGTCAGAGCCATGCCTCATGCACCACGCACATAGAACCAGCCTCCCTGGAGCGGCAAGGTGCGGGCGCGGCCCCCGAGGGGATGGAATGGCAGTGGCTGAGGGAGGGCAGCAGAGAAGCCTTCGGATGCGGCGAGCACGCCAGCACCCGTGGGGCTCCACACCCCGCGCTGTGCCCAGGCGCCTGTCAGTGAGACACAGGAGCACAGACGCCCCACCAGGAAGCACCGGCCCCCCGCAGAGAGACCGTCCAAGCCAACCCCTGATCTAGGACCACATTCCAAATGCCTGCTTGTCCTGCTCTGCCAGACTCTTCCTTCCTAACCCTGCCCCTGACTCCGTGCTGTCCCCACTACGAGCCCTGCCCCTGGGAGGGACAGCCCACTCTGCCCAGGGCCATGAGAGAGGATGTCACCATAGCCAGGGCATTTGTGTGTCTGCAGGACAGGTCTCATCAGGAAAGGGGATCCCAAGAGACAAGACAACCAGCACACCCCTGAAGCCCAGGGACAGCCAAATGACTGTCCCCACTGCCAGGTGCTCTCCTCAGAAGGGGACTTAGGGCGGGCAAGATGCTAAAACTAACGTGGGGCCGAGGCCACACGATGGCAGACGTGGAATGCGCCATGACAGCATTAGGGCAGCACAGCCAATCCATGACCACGGCCACGGCTGTGTCTGATCCAGCGGGCTAGAGTTGGTCTGCGGGGTGCTGCACCTGGCCAGCCACGGGTCTGTACCCCGTCCTGGTTCCGCCTCCTCTCCTGCTCCTCCCAGAACTGGCACCTGCCCATCCGAGGAGGGCCTGACGTTCCCCCTTGGAATTCCGGCCTCAGAAGCGACAGGAGGCTACAGAATCCCCAGTGAATCGGGTGCTGCACACTAAGCACAGAGCAACAGTGTAAGGACTCAGAGTAAAGACGCAAGCCAGTCTCAGCCAGATCGAGGTTGATCTGGAAGATCAGAACAGTCTCTTTCTGCCTTAGAATCCACATCCAGCCATCTCTGCCCTTTAACGGGGCCATTTCCTGCTGACTGTGGCTGCACCAAACCCAAAATGCAGATTGCTGCTGATGTGGGTAAACTCTGTCAGGCTAACTTTCAAGAATTAGATGAGTCCAGTAGCTCGGATTAAAGCAAGGGGTTCATTCATTTGCTGACACTCATTCACAGCATATAGTAACTGTCCCAGGCACTGTTCTAGGTGCTGGGATCACAGATGTGGACACAACTGACCAGAATCAATCCTACCCTCACGGATCTCACCTCGTAGGGAGGAGATGGATGGTGAGCCCTGCACCAATAACATCTACGAAAGATGAAACAGGGCGGTGGCATGCACGGCGAGGGGGTGGGGGGGGGCAGAGAGCCAGTTCTGGCCAACGTGGCCAGGGGAGAGGGCATCTCTTAACAGTCAAGGTGAAGGGAGGAGCCAGGCATGGGGACACATGGGGAAAGTGTGTTTCAGGCATAGACAAGAGTAAGAACACAGGCGAATTGCAGACTTCATTGTTAGGTGTGGGGTTTCGTTTGCAAGGACCTTAACTCTGGTATCCTACTTGAGTATGGCTGATAGAAGCACCCACAGACTTCCCTAGAATATCTGGGTGCTGACCCCTACACTTTGGTTCCAGAGAGGAAGGCCAAAGTAATGCAGAATATTTCCTGTTCCACTGAACATTTCCAGTGTGGGAAAGGTACTAGGAATGTGGTGCTCCCAGGGATTGATAATCCCTGTGGATCACCAGCACTGTCCTTTTTACGTTCTGGAACCTCAAGCATAACCCTGTTCTCAGATGTGGCCCGAGCCTGGTCGTGAATGGAGCTTCAACCAAGCTCAGAGGAAAAATCTGGTCACCTCCAGGCCAGGAACAGAAACGGAAGTGGTTTTATGGACTCTGGGACCTTATGCAGGCTCAGCTGGTCAGTTCCCAACAAGGCTGCCTCAGTCCATCGCATTTTTCACCTTGCCCATCCGCACGCTACCTGGGAACTGCCCGGTGAAGCGTGCAGAGCGCTGTCCCCACACACACCCCTGGTGCATTCCACTCAGTGCAGCACTTGGTCTTGATGTGGGCCCAGATTCAGACCATAAAGAACAGGAGCCCCCAGGAAATGTTCACCAAGGAGAAGAGATTTGCTGTAGACCCCAAATAGTTTCCAAAAAGGCATTATAGAAAGCAGGTAAACAAAAAGTAATCTGAGTGTATTTCCCTTGCTTAAACATTCTCAAGTGCATAAAAAATAACATTATAAAACACTTCATGTTTCTTTGAACATTAAAAGCACTCCAAGAAAACCACTTGGTGACCCTCTTCTGAAGCTCAGATTTCTCACCATTACAAGAGGGACGATGCCCACAAAGGATGTCTGGCTGACGAAGATCTCAGAGACGGCCAGTTCGCTCATAGAGTCCTCCACCGGATACTCCACCTGCCAGGTGATGGGCTGGGCCCCGGCCAGGCCACTGCTGTTGTCGATCCCAAAGTCCACTTGCAAGATCTCATAGAAGGAGCCATTTGCCCTGGAAAACAAACACATGTTGAAGTGCAATTTAAAACCTGAGACTCAGTAGTCTGAGATAAATTGCCACATTCCTCCTTGCCAATGGAAAGAGTGGTTGCCAACTTCAACAGAGTACATGGCAGTGTCGACAGAGCCTAATTCGTGGGCTGTCCGTCAGTGACCCACAACTCCAAATGGGTGGGCAGCCCATCTGCAGGGCTCAGTGGGAAGCAGACCATTCTTCTTTGAACGAGCATGTCAGACAGCTCTCCCCACTCCCATGTGTGCCCACAGCAAGTGGCCCTGAGCTTCTTGTCTGGTGCTACCATCACTCCATTCCTGAGGCACACTCTGGACTCTGGCTACCTCCACATTTACTTAGCTGTGTGTCTATGGACCAGTGGTTCAAACTCTGAGTTTTAGGATTTTGGGAGAACAGTGGTGACCTCACAGGCTAGTGGGACCATCATGAGACCAAGCATGGGAAGGACTCCGTAATTCCCTGGTTCACTACAAAACTATGAGCGACACATAAGATGCTACAGTGATTCCTCATTTCATGACCCTGAAATGGGATGAGATGTAAGAATCCACCAGCCTTAATTCATGGAGTGGCAGCACTGCCTGTGTTTGGAAGAGGGGAAGAAGGTGGATGGGACACATAAACGTGAAAAAGACTAGCATCATTCTCAATATTTTTGTACACAGGGAGCATCTTGTCATTGACAGGGATGTTGTAAATTGTAGGCCGACTATTGTACCAACAGCAGAAGTTGCTGAACAGAGAGTTAAAACAGAAGCCATGCAGCACAGTGTTCGTGAAGGACTCCTGTTCTGTAGCCTTTTCCATCACCCTGATGCTAGCTTTATCCCCAGCCAAGGAATCTGAGAGCAGAGTGACCGATTCATGGTTCTGCAAGGCCTGAGTCACACCAACCAACCTATTCCTTTACTGCCTGTGGGCCTGCCTGGACCAAAATGGGCTTGGAAGCCTCTGGCCTGTCTTTCAGGGTGTGGGCAGGTTCTGCAGAAGAGTTTTGAAAATGAACCTGGGCTTGCTGCTCGCCCACAGAAATCTCCTACCATGGACAGCTCCCTTCCCACCTGCTGACTTAAGAGGGTGAAAACCACACCTGGATGGTTAGAGGCATCCAAGAGGTACCAGAGGCAAGGTTCAGACGTAGTAACAGTGTTGACAGAAATGGCCTGCTCAATACAGAATTCCACCCAAATCAGAACCACCCTAGACTCCATATAGAATTGGTTGTGTCCAACCCTCTTCCATGCAGCCAAGGTGTTAAGAAACTCTCTGATGTTGCTCTGTCCAATACTGTGGCCACTAGCCAGAAATAGCTATTCAAATTGAAACATAAATGTATTAAAATGACACAGCCGGGTGTCCCAGCTGAGCTTAATCTGGGTGTGGAACATGGGAGCTCTGATTCCTCAAGTATCTACTCGTCACGGTGTTCTGCACGGGGAAGACAGTGTGTACGGCATAAAGATCCCTCGCTTCATGAGAAGGACGACAGTGGGCACACAGGAGGACCCCCACCAGGGGGCTCCAGTTTACCTGGGCATCTTTGGTGAGAAGGCAGAGCAAGGGGAAGCTAATGGCTGATTCTGAGTTGCCAAAGGGATTTCAGGGTCTTAGGGACTGAAGCCCTCGCTTCAGCCATCCCCATTCCTCTCCCAGCCTGAAGTCTCCTCTCTGTTCCACAGCAAGTCCTCACTTCTCCATCTGTTGAGTCAGGAGACACTCGGTCCTATTGGACCAGATCTTCGATTCCTCTTTGGGCTGCACCGTGCTTGGAACCATTACTTGGGAGCTGCTTCTAATACCTCCTGGGTTCTCAGCATTCAGTAGACCTCAGCAAGGCAAATGCCAAGAAAGTGAGAACCCCCCCCCCAAGCAAGAGAAGAAAAGGAGCATAACTGTCTGTGTTCTCAGCAATTTAATCCTGCTAAATCTGCACTCTGGTCTTGGGCGTACAGAAGCAGCCGGTCTTTGGGCAGAGGGGCCGGGGTCTGTGTGAGAGGGCCAGCCCCCTTCTCCCTTCCTGGGCCCCTCCTGCCCCTCTCTGACTGTCCAGCCCATGAGCTGAATCAGCGACAGGAATCTGCCCAAGTCCAACTACAAACAGAATAATGATCAACTCTGAGTCACTTTTATAAACAAGTGTTTATTCTAAGTCATTTCCCTCAAACCGGAGGAAGGGGGTCTTTTATTTTCAGGCAGCTGGTATGCTTGCAAATAAGTCCATTTCTATGGAAATGGGTTTATAATTATTAAATTTACCTGTTCCTGATCTATCCTTGATAAGCCTTTCAAATTTAGGAAAGTGCTTCATGATCCTCTCAATTTAATAATTACCAACTGCCTTTGAGGAATCCGGATCAGTATTCCGGCCGTGAGATATTCATTAGATATTTTTCCCTGGGGTGGAGAAATGTGTGTGTGCATGTGAGCATGTGTGTGTGTGCGTGCACATGCATGTGTGTGTGTGTAATGTATGTGTGTGCGTGTGCATGTATTGGGTATGCATGTGTGTGCATGTGAGCATGCATGTGTGCATGTACGTGTGTGTGCATGTGTGTACACACGCGTGTGTGCATGTGCATGTATCAGGCATGTGTGCATGTGAGCATGCATGTGTGTGCGTGCACGTGCATGTATGTGTGTGTGCATGTGTGTGTAATGTGTAATGTATGTGTGTGCATGTATTGTGCATGTGTGTGTGTGCATGTGTGTGTGCGTGTGCACGTGTTCGGAGGGGTCAGGCAGGAAACGCTGCTTGGCTGCTTCTCCCCCCAGACTGAGCACACAGCACCCTCCCAGAAGGACTTGGTTCCCAAAGCCCTGTTTCCCATGGAAGCTTCCCCTCTAGTAAACCTGGGAGCCTCTTCCCTGGGACCCTGGGACCCCTGGGGTGGAGCTGAGGCAGCTTTTGAATGCACAGTGTAGTTGCAGCTCAGACAGGCCAGCAGGAAGGAAAAGGAGAGATGGGGGCAGAGGAGGGGTATGGGGGACCCAACCCAGCAGCTTGTCCCCAAGAGCCACATCCAGCCATTTATCAGCATATAACCCATGATGACAATAATGGCTGTTTGGGGGAGGGGGGGAAGGAGACAGGGAGAGGGGAGGAGGAAGGGAGGGAGAAATAAGAGAAGGGGGGAGAGAGGGGGTTCAAAACTTTGAACTCTTCTCCAGCAAGTTGTGCCATTTACATCGACTATTACGCCCCCAACCCCCACAAACTTCTAGATGGTTCTGCGCTACCAGGCTGAGATGCTGAAGCTTTCCCCACACGAACTTTTCTAGAAATGGAGTGAGAGAGGCTGACCTCTGTCAGGGTCTCTGTCTTAAGAGCCCTTCTCTGGCATTATGTTTTTAAACGACCAAAAGGCAAGGTACATACAGATCCATGATCACATTGAGCAAATGCCCCAGAAGAGGCACGATGACATGGATCCACCATTATGGTGCCCTATAGAGTATTCTCGCCATCCAAAAAATCCTCTCTGCTCTGCCTATCCATCCCTCCTCTGCCCAATCCCTGGCAACCAATCTTTTACTGTCTCTAAAGTTTTGCCTTTTCCAGAATATCCTATCACTGGAATCCTATGGTGTGGTGTGCAGCCTCTTCAGACTGGCCTCTTTCACTTAGTAATATGTATTTGAGGTTCTTCCAGGTCTGTTTTGGCCTGACAGCTTACTCCTGTTTAGTGCCGAATAACATTCCATTGTCTGATGGACCACAGTTTATTTAATCACTCACCTGCTGAAGGACATCTTGGTGGACATAAGCTTTCAACTCCTTTGAGCAAAATACCAAGGAACATGACTGCTGGATGGTATGAACCTAATTCTTCAAAGTCCAAAGCCTATTATAACACTACAGTCACTGTGGTCCCTAGTACATTCATTTATGCAGTGACATTTATTAAGCACATATTATGTGTGAGGCACTGAGAATTCATTGGTAGACAAAATAGATAAGATCCCTGTCTTGCTAATCAGGTAAATATTAGGTAAGTCCTGGTCATGAAAGATGCTATCCTAAAAATTAAATAGAATTACATTTCTTTTTAAAAGGCTAAATAAATTTTTTCAATTAAAAAATTTAAATACAATTTTAAAATAGTCCATTTTTCTTTTAAACTAGAATATATATTACAACAGAAGACAATGAAAGGTGTTCAGGGCCTGCCCCTGTAAGGAACTGACATTTGAGCTGAGACCCAAAGGACGAATAGAAGCCAAACAGATCTTCAGCAAATGTTTGTTGAATAAATGAGTAAATCTATTTTAAGCTTTTAAAAAAGTCATGGGAAAAGTTTATCCCAAACCATTCAGCATGAACACAAGGTGCTAAATGCAAAAGAACAACCATCCAGTCTTTGTTCAAATACCACCTGCTCAGTAAAGCCTCTTCTGACCACACCATCTAAAGCTCCATCCCCCGTGCCTACAGTTCTGACCCCATTAGCCAGCTCTATGTCTTCTACAGCTTTTACATTTTCGCATACTAAGTGATCTAAGTGACTGGCTGACTGATTGGTTATGTTGATTCCTTCTCTCTCTCTCTCTCTTGCACACGCACACATACACACTCCTATGAATGTGGAATCTTTGCCTGCTTTGCTCATTATTGTGTCCCCAGCACTTAGAACCCTGCCTGGGACATTACTCATTCAGTATCAGTGAATATCCAACAACAGTTGGAACGAGATCTCAGAGGAACATGTGCTTAGTGAACCCCGAGACCAGATGTTGGGAGAAGACAGATTGGCAAGTCAGGGAAGGCTTCCTGGAGGAGGCTGGACTCAGGCTGATCTTTGAACAACAGGTTAATTAGACGAGCAACTGCTACAGCCCCACTGCTTGGGGTTGCTCATCACACCCTTTTCCCTCTGGACATGCTTCCCACTCCCTGACGGCCCCCACATCAGTCCTCCCAGGGAGGAAAGAAGCAATCGCTGCTCATCAGTCCCATCAACAGGGCAGAGGCTCTGTAG